TGTCAAAGATGTTTAGTATTAATTCTTCTATATTTCATTCATTCATCACTAATAATGCATGACATAGATTAATCGATATAGGTTGAGACGTTTTGTTTTTAATATTCATCGATATAGGTCGAAACGTTTTGTTTTTAATATTCATTGATGCATCTAAGTAAGTTTTAAGCCGATGAATCATTTTACAAATAGTTATATTTTATGATGATCAATTATATGTATGTCACGACCCGAATTTTCTACCCTTGAGAGTCGTGATGGCGCCTACTCGTGAAAGCTAGGCAAGCCGAGTATTATAAATTCATTACCCTTTTTATTAAGCATGTTCAATAATTCAAAGTAATAAGTGATTTAAGCAGTGGAATAAACTAAATGACCAAAAATGCAGAAGACGAAAACTTAATCATTAACCGAGCTACATAATCTGAAATACAATACTACCCAGAATTTGGTGTCACAAGTCACAGACTATCTAAGAATACTACAAATAAGGTCTGAATGAAAATACATAAATCTGTCTCTGAATAAGTAAAAACAGAAAGAGAAGTGATAGGAGGAGACGCCAAGGCCCACAGACGTCTGCAGGACTACCTCGGGTCGCCTGAATGGACTGAAGACAACACCCTCACTACGGTCCAAATGCTCAAGTATCAATATCTGCACACATTGCAGAGTGTAGTATCAGCACAACCGACCCCATGTGCTGGTAAGTGCCTAGCCTAACCTCGGCGAAGTAGTGACGAGGCTAGGATCAGACTACCAAATAAACCTGTGCAGTTAAATCATATACAATGGAAAATAAAAGCAGGAATGTACAATTAAGGATGGGAGGGGGAAAAGTTGTTGTGGGGAAGCATCAAATGATAATAGAAGAACAACAGGTAAATATAAAGAACATTATAACTCGATTATCAACAAGAATCAGAAATCAAACAAGTGCACGTCGTCACCTTTCGTGCTTTTACTCTCGTCCTCACCATAAGAATCAATATAATCTGCACGGCATCACCCTTCGTGCTTTTACTCTCCTCCTCACCATAAAAATCAATATAATTGGCACGGAATTGTACATCGTGCGGCACGACATCACCCTTCGTGCTTTTACACTCTTCCTCACAAAATCATACACGGCATCACCCTTCGTGCTTTAACACTCTCTCACCAAAATAATGCACAGCATCACCCTTCGTGATTTAACACTCTTCCTTACCCAAACAACAATCACAAGCAATAAGGGCAAGGAAATAAATAAAATCACAATAAAATCCCGGCAAGGGAACAATAGTTCAACAATCGAATCCCGACAAGGGAACAATATCAAAAGCATTAACATCCCAGCAAGGGAGATAACATTAAAAGAAACAACATCCTGGCAAGGGAGACAATATAATAATCCTTTTCTCTTTTTCACATTTATTTCACAACTTACTTTACAACTTGAGCCAATGCTCTATAAGGTTCAATTGCCAATTTTACTTCCACAATTCATTATACAACTTGAGCCAAAGCTCTTCAACATTCAAATACCACTATTACTTCCACAAGCTTTGCTCAACAATAAAAATCATCACATAAGGCATGAACAATACAAACGAAGTCACACTAATCATAGTATAAGACTCACGAGCATGCTTGACACCATCGTATAGATACTCGTCACCATGCCTATACGTCGTACTCAACAAATAACACATAGCAAATAGGACACAACTCCTAAGCCCTCAAGCTAAGGTTAGACCAAACACTTGCCTCAAACTTCCACGACCAACTCAAGCCTCAAACACTATTTTTCCTTTAGAATTTGCCTCCAAATAACTCATATCTAGTCCAAATTGATTTAACAACATCAATAAATGCTAAAGAATTCATACCCAATGCTTAATTATAGGTTTTCTATCATTTTTCCCAAAGAGTCAAAAATTGACCCCGAGCCCGCTTGGTCAAAACTTGAGGTTCGGACCAAAACTCGATCACCCATTCAATCACGAGCCCAAATATGCAATTAGTTTCGAAATCTGACCCCAAAACGAGGTCTAAATTCCAATTAATCAAAAAGCCTAAACACTACCCAAATTCCTAATTTCTACTATAAAACCCTAGATTTTTGGATGAAAATTGATGAAATGCAATGCAAAATCGAAAGAATAAGGTTTAAAATCATATACCAATGCTTTTGGGAAGAACTTGTTCTTTGAAAATCGCATCAATGCTCTCTAGTTTTGAAAATTTGAAGTTATGGACTAAATCCCGATTTTGCTACTGTTTTTAATTCACTGGACAGACCTTCTTCGCGTTCGCGAAGGGCCTGTCACGTTCGCGAAGGCTCAGGCCCATTAGCCTTCGCGTTTGCGTTTAGCGGCTCGCGTTCGCGGAGCTTTGCTCCTCAAGCCTTCACGTTCGCGGGCCAGTGGCCGCGTTCGCATAGAAAAAAATCCCGTTCCCCCTGCCCCAGCCCAAAGGCCTTCGCGTTCGCGATAGCAGGTCCGCGTTCACGAAGGGTAGCACTCCCAAAGCTTCGCGTTCACGGCATGTTTCTCGCGTTCGCGTAGAAGGAAGATTCCTTCAGCCTGACTTACCCTTTGCGTTTGCGAGAGTCCTTCCGCGAACGCGAAGAACAAAATTTCAGAATACCAGAAATTGAAAACCTGCAACTTTTTCTAAGTTTAAAACCTTTCGAAACCTATCCGAAACTCACTCGAGCCCTCGGGGCTCAAAACTAAACATGCATACTAACTCAAAAACATCATATGGACTTACTCGTGCGATCAAATCGCCAAATTAACAGCTTTAACAATGAATTTAGCATCAAAATCAAAGAAAAATCTCAAGAACACTTAAGTTTCAAATTTCACAACCGAGGGTCCGATTCACGTCATTTCAAGTCCGTTTCTTACTAAATTTTACATGCTCAACTTAAATCATATATAAGACCTGTACCGGACTCCGGAATCAAAATACGGGCCCGATACCATCAAGTTCAGTTACATTCAAATTTCCAAAGACTCTAAAATTTTTAGTTAAACAATTTTTCTTCAAAGATTCATTTCTCGGGCTTAGGACCTCGGAATTCGATTCCGGGACCATCAAATCACGAGTCCGGATCCGTTTACCCAAAATATTGACTGAAGTCAACTTAAATTCATTTTAAAGGCAAAATTTATTATTTTTCACAAATTTTCACATAATGGCTTTCCGGATACGCGCCCGGATTGCACACGCAAATCGAGGTAAGATAGAAAGAGGTTTTAAGGCCTCAGAACACATAATTTATTTCTAAAACAAGTGATGACCATACTAATTAGATTATTGCTTCTTCACAAGTCTATCCCTAAAAGAACCCCACCCTGTGGCCCTAGCGCTTCGTGCTCTTATATATATGCGTCTATACCTATAAAAATATACACACACATACTTCGTTGTACTACTTTAACTATATATAGCTTGTTATAGTATATGTTAGTGTATTCATTATTTGTATTACAAAATAAGGTATCAACGGATTACATTTATATTATTTAGATTGTAAATATTAAAGTGATTCAAAAGTCTGACCATGTTTGACCTAATAACCGACCAACTTTGGTCGGTTATTTTTTAGGAAATAACATATATCGACCAAAGTTGGTCGGTAAAAGCTTCCCCTGCAATAACCGATTGACTTTGGTTGGTAAACTTAAATATAAATTCTATAAATTTTATAAAATATTTTAAATAATAATATAATTATTAAAATTTTAAAAAGTGAGTCCACATTACCGACCAAAGTTGGTCGGTAATCAAAAAGCTGCTTTGACTAAGCAAGTCCGACCACTGCGATTAAATTTTTGACCAATATACCGACCAACTTTGGTCGGTATGTAATTTAAAAAAAATATAAAATATTTTTTTTGTAGTTTCCGTTTGTGTTGACGGTTTTTTGTCGCTTTTGTTGACCAACCAACGTTGGTCGGTATGACTTGGTCAGTTTTTCCCTAATTTCTAATAGTGTCTTCTATGAAGGTATTGCAGTACCATATTTATTACAATACCAACTGTCAACTGCTGCAAACACATAGGTCGAGAGGCTAATTAGTTCAAACTATTGTTTTGTTTTTTCATCAATCATTCGAGTTCTATATAATATTGGTTGGTATTCAATTGGGATTATTTTGGTCGGTAATGGTATTAATCAAAGAGAGAATTTTTGTCCTTGTATTAACATTGTTATAAAATGAGGACGCATTTAATTAAGGCTTTAATTTTATACAATGTAAAAGAGCTTCTAAAGTATGATTTAATTAAAGAAATGTCCATCATAAATAACCGTAAGGCCTGCTTGTTTAGAGTACAAGGTAGTATAATACTTGTACTAAACCCAACATTAGTTATCTCTATACTAGGTAAAAATAGCACGGGCTAGCCAGTTTTTGGACTGATCATTCAAAAATAGCCAACGTTTGCAAAGTCATTGACTCCCCATAATGAAAGTCCCGGCCCCGACATGAATTGAAACATCCAAAATAACAAAACTAACCCTCATAATAATGGACAAACATTTATTTTCTATAAAAATAAATACCAAAGTCGGAGGAAAGCTAAGGCTATAAATACAACATACAGTAGGAGAAACTTTAGAATAGGAGTATATAAATATGGAGGCTGCGCTATGCCTTTGGCATTGTGAATTTTCTATTGGAGGATAGAAACTTCTCTCGTTGCTCTGCGGCATCAATGTCACTGAAATGTGTTTCTGGGATCCAGTTTCCAGTCTTGGGATCTCTCATCCAAAATATATCCTTTCCTACACTTTTCTCAATATTGTTTGAAGAAGAAGAAGAAGACGACGACGACGACTCGGCCACCTTCCTAATATTGGAAGTAACAGGCCGTCCTTTTACATTCTCTGCTGCTACTGTGTATCCTCTCCTGCACCCACAAAAAATAGCCTATAAATTGAGAAATTTAATGTTAATAAATTATTTTCAAAATATGTAAATCTGTCGTTCAATGGACGGGGAGCCGTGGAACATTGATAAAGTTATTTTTGTATGACCTATAGATCGCGGGTTCAAGCCGTGGATACAAGATATTTTCTATTTTTTATAAATCTATCATACTTTCTGAACCGACTAAAAAGTAAGCAATGTCACGTAAACGGGAAAAGAGGGAGTAACAATGTTCACATGTTCTTGTGAGAATAAACGTTCAAAAAAATAAAAATGGCGTGGTAGGGAAGATAGTTTGGTCTCTAACCTGAGATCAAGAATGAGATTAAAGCTGCTCAAAGGAACCCTAGGCATGATGAAGAATTTTGAGATGCGTTACAGATTGAGATGGTGTGTATGTTTGTACGTTTAATATATATATATATATATATA